TTGTTTTCTTGATCTTGAGTGCTGATACTAGAAATACTCTAGTAGTAGGTGTTTATTCTGTATTTATGTATGTTTTAAATTTATGGGAAACATTTAATGGAATATTTTTCATTGAAGTTACTGTTCCTCACTCCAGTCACATGTCTAATTCTACTTTAATGAATGCATTATCATTTATGTTGCCTTTCTACTGCAGTGCATAGGTTGTGTAGCAATCAGTGGAATATGAAACATGAAACATTCACTATGACAACCTTCTGTGAGAAATAAACTTGATAATATATATTGTGTTTTACCTGTTGATTTTACTGTGTTCAGTCTTCATGTCATTTTTATTCCAGGTTTCTTAAAAGTTAATGCCAAATGATGATACTCACTTGACTAGAAAGAGTTGACTGATTAAACACAAATTGTTTGTGATGAGAAAAGTTATGTGAATGAGAGAGAGAAAACTAGATCTAGATTTACAGTTCGACTTGGCAAGTCACTGTACACTGTTTTCTCTTTACAGATTTCTCTTGGTGCTGATTTGTTTAATATTCAGTGTACTATCTACTATAGAGCATTATTCTGAATTTGCCATTGGAACCCTTTTCTGGATGGTAAGTGAACTTTGTTGGGGAAAGACTAATCAATTTGACTAAATTTAAATTGATTTGGGTGGGCAAGAGCTGTTAAAAATCCTCCTGCAAAACATTCTGCCAGGACATTTAAAAGAGTACCTGCTTTCATTAAAGAAAGGTCACAGCTTCATGGGGATGATTATTTTCTGGATCTGTAAACTATAAGGGTACTTGTTAGATGAGCAGTTTTTATTTACTTGCTGTGTAAGTGTGGCTCTTACAGTGCACAGCTAATGTTCATCAATCTAACACAGGGTGGAACAGGATATTCTACAGGAATGGATTTTTAAACTGTTGATTTTCTTAGTCTTATGGTAAAAAATTGGCTAAGAACCATGATTTCAGAAATATCAGATTCTTGGGTGTAAGTGATTTCTGTGAGACTGATTTGCTGGTGTATGGAACAGGAAGGAAGAGCTTCCATCACACTTCTGGGCACCTATTCTTGTTAGTAGGATCTTGAGTAGTTATTTAAACAAAAGGTGTTGTGATAAAAAACTCTCCACATTTGGAGGTGTACAGCTTCTTGTTTTCACAGGAGCAAATTTGTTTATCGCTGGACTGGGTGGCTATTTACAGATGAAAGATGACTGAAGTGTGTTACAAGCCCTGAGCTATTCTGTCTCTTAAAAATATGAAATCACATCCAGCAACTATCTAGAAACTGTTGCAACATACATACAATATTTCTAAGTGTTAATTTGAAGTAGGTGGGAAATAAAAGTACAAATAACTTGCATGAGGATTTTAGGCAGTGTTCCTCTTCGGTCCCCCCCTGCCCTTCTTCACCTTTAGAAAGTTAAAAATGAGATGAAATATCCTTGATAAAAATGGAGTCAATCACATTTAAACAGCTGCTCACAATATCTGTATTTTAGCCATTCAAATCCTGTGATTTTAAGTGTGTGATAATCTCAATATTCTTATTGTAGTTTCATTTTGCTTTCCATCTGGTTTGAAAATAAAAATTAGTTCCTTTTTTGTTTCCTTATGGCTTAGACAACATCAGCATATGCAGCTTTTGTGTGCAGTTGACTGAGCCATCATTAGGATCCCTGAGTTATTTTGAGATTTTCATTAATGTTAATCCTGTAACGAATATTCCTTGGCCTTTAAGCCACGTTCAGTGTCAAACAGAGTGCAGTGTGCTGTCAATCATATATGATCTTCCCATGCTCACTGAAAGATGTAGTGATAACAGGTCAGCATCACCCCCACCCAAAACAGTAATCCCAGCAAGGATTCAATGCTTGGCTGGTTGGTTTTGTGTGGATGGAATGTGCATGTGAGACACACATTGTTTGACAAAAAAATGACTGGATGAAGACAGATGTGTGGCTCACATAGTGACCACATAGCATTGCTAGCTATTTTTAAGTGATGTTATCATCTAACAAATGAATCATGCATAGGCAGTGGCAGTGCTGGAACAATTTCTTGGCCACTTTGTGTTATAACCTAACCCTGAAGGATACCTCTCTGGTGTTTATTCTTCTCCTGCAGTTTCCTTCCTAGAAATGGCCAGCACAGAGATTAGCTGCTCTGCTGACTGCTGTAGATTTACTTGCCTAGAAAGCATTTGTCTCAAAACTTAAAGAGTTTGGTCTGAAATAAATTCAATTAGAACACTTGAAAGATTGCTTTTATAGCTAATTAATTAGTCATTTTTTCATAGAGTTGTGAGGTTTTTTGTTGCTAGGAGCTAAATGGTTAGATTCCTTCTTGGAGCATTTCTCCTCACCTTTACCTGAAGGAATTTCAAACTGCATTTCCCATTTTATCCAAGACAGTGCTCACCCCACAGAAGCCTGGAGATTATTGCTCTCTTAACTCTGTAGAGGCTCATTATTCTGATCTACTTCATACCATAGTTGACTGTGAACAATAATGTACATGTTATTTCACAAAGCTTAAATGTCCAGCTGTTTTTTTGTTCAGATTGCTACATGTAGTGTGATATGAAAAAGAATCTCTAGTTTCCCCAGCTTTGCTTGGGCCTGGATCTGTACTCTTGGAAGCTTTTTCACTTGACTATCCACCAGTATTTAGGATCTGCTGCATGAGAAGGTTCTAGTACAGTGTCTGAGGAAACCAGCACAATGGAACAAGGCACAGTTGTGAATAAAATGTTTGCAGCACTTAATGCTACAATCCAGCTCTGTTTTATTCCCAGTTACCCACTCAATACCTGGGTCCAAAATTTCCTCCTGAAACACTCAGATTGCTTACATCTATCTCACTGTGTTGCTCTTTGAGTAGATGCTACCTGAATTTAAGTCCTCTATAAGAACCAGGGTATGATCTAGAAAATTTCTTGAGTTGTTGCCTCTTGATGCCTCTTGTCTGATGTCCCTTATGCACTTCTACCAGTATCTCATGCCCTAAAGATTGGAGCAGGCACTCTCTAAGGAATCTTCAGTTTTGATCACCAGAACAAATTGACAAAACTGAGCAGCAGAATGGCTCAAAAGAGCAGTGAGAGGGTTGATCATGAACAGTTTTGTAGCTGGGACTACTGAAAAGAGAGAACTTTTTGTAACGTAACCCAAAACCAAGTTTCTGAAATAGTCTGGCCCAGAGTGGTGTTTATGAACTTGAGATACAGTCTCACATCATGCCATGCCTGAGTGCCAGAAGGTGGTTAACCAGGGATTATGGTATGTTCTGAGAGTAACAATTTGAGGGGAGCAGAGGAAATATGAAATTCATGCTTTTTTGTGGACTGCATGGTAAAGCCTTTTCCCAACAGACATTGATGAACATCAGAATTTTGGAACTGTTTAAAATTCCTCTTTAAAAAAAGGATTGATACTTTTGGTAAAAACAGGGAAGAAAAAACATACTAACTAGCAGTCTTTTTTTCCTCCTTCTTAATTAGTCTCTATACACTTTTGGCACTCAGAGAGATATCTGACAGAATTCACTTGCCTTTTTAATAGCTTCTTCCCTATTTGACAGAGTTCACTTGCCTTTTTAATAGCTTCTTCCAAACAGAAGTCAAGAACAGTGTGAGATTTCCTACATCCAACACTTAATCTTGAGCCACTACTGTTGCACAGCTCTCTTTTTGGGCCAGGTCCTTACCTGTTGCTTGTGATTCTTTTTTAAAATAAAATTCTACCAAAATGTATGTTCTGAGAAATTAAGAGAACAGGCATAGTGTTTATTTACAAACCCTGCCTGCTTGAAAGAATTTCATCCTTCAGTTCTTCATTGATATATTTACAGATGGTTTGGTAATAAAAAATTGAAAGAAGAAAAAGTTAGTCTTTAAATACTAGAGGTATTTTTATCTACTTGTTCTTAAAATGAATACATACACTTTTAGCATTATCTTGGATTCCTATCATAGGTCAACTCTGTTTCCAATGACTGTCTTTCCCAGAGTTCTAACCATTTTACTTCTTATTTTCACTTGTTGAAATTTTCCCTGTGAGTTCAACAGATCAATCAAAACAATGCTGATTGCTTATGATGCCTTTCACTGCAAAAATTCTGCTTGCTTAACTGTTCTTTTTGACTTTTAGCATTTGTAACTTCTATGGAAGTCTTCCTTTTACACTCCTTGTGCTGAAAATGATTCTCTAAAATCTTATTTGCCATAGTGTCATGCTTCTTCAGCCACTTTTTTCTCTGGGAGGTCATCAAACTTGCTTGGGCATGTCTGCTTCCTGAGGTATAAACTTTTCTTTCTGCTATACAGTAGCTTTACATATTTTTGTAGTTAGTGTTATTGGGTGGCTGTTCAAAGCAAAGAATGTCTTCAGCTGTTTTCAAAGAGTTGCTGATGTATTAGCACAGAGTTTTTGAATGACCATAGGCAAACCTTGAAGTTCATAGAATCACAGAATGGTTTGAGTTGGAAGGGACCTTAAAGATCATCTAGTTCCAAATTCCCTTCCATGGACAGGGTCCCCTTCCACTAGACCAGGTTGCTCAGAGCTCCATCCACCCTGGCCTTGAACACTTCCAGGGATGGAGCAGCCACAGCAGCTCTGGGCACTCTGTTTCAGGGCCTCATCACCCTCACAGCAAAGAATTTCTTCCTGACATCTAATCTAAACCTGTTTTCAGTTTGAATCCATTCCTCCTTGTCTCATCACTACAGTTCCTGGTGAAGGATCCCTCTCCAGATTCATTACAGACACCTTCCAGTACTGGAAGGCTGCTGTGAGGTCTTCTTTCCTCCAGGCTGAGCAGCCCCAACTCTCCCAGCCTGTCTGCATAGCAGAGGTGCTCCAGCCTGTGGAGCATCTTTATATCCCTCTCCTGGACTTGCTCCAACAGGTCTTGTTCCTTCTTATGTTTGGGACCCCAGAGCTGGATGCAGGACTCCAGGTGGGAGGTTTCATGAAAGTGGAGTAGAGAGAATCACCTCCTCCACAGTAGCTATGTGACTGAGATTAAAATAAATTAAAAAAAAAGTGTTAGGAGCATTTTCACTAAAAGTTTACATAGAAAATATTGGGTTTAGTTTCAAAAGTCATGCCAGAAAAGGGATACTATGTTTTCAGCAAATTGTACGTATGCTTATGTTCATAGATTTTTTTTCATTCTTTCTTCTTTGTGTCATGTATGCTTATGTTTATATATTTTTTTCATTCTTTCTTCTTTGTGTCACTTTTAGGGAACATTTTATTCTTCCATTTTGTCTCTTTTTTTTGCATTCCCTAATATATATGGTTATAATTTTATCTGATTCTATGATGATTCTATGGAAAAATCTCTTTAAAACTTGCCAAAGCCTATAGTTGTGCCTGTACAAGCAGGAGGCTGTAAGATTTCCTTGATGATCTAATAGTTTGTGTGTCAGTTTTTGATTTGTAAAATGGCATCAAGATTTTCAAGGATATGGCGTTAAAAATAATCTATAAAGTAAGTCAGGTGTATTTTCTCCTTTGAGGATTGATCTGATTGTTTTCGTGGTTAGAGGTCATATGTGTTTCTGCCAGGAGAGGTCAGCATGGTAGTTTGCAAAA